CGTCACGCATAACGGTTATTTGGGAAGACAAACGCCATCACTCCGAACATCCCCCCTTCCTTCTTCTTCCCCCAGCTTTATATGCCGAGCATGACGTCATATGATGTGGAATATCCCTTTGGTCAGTTGGGGTCAGCTGTCCCAACTATGTCCCCTCCCACCTTCTTGTGCACCCCCAGCCTACTCGCTGGTGAGGTGGGGTGAGGAGCAGAACAGCCCTTGACTCTGTGTAAGCACTGCTCAGCGAAACATCCCTGTGTTATCAACACTGTTTTCAGCACAAATCCAAAACACAGCCCCATACTAGCTACTATGAAGAAAATTAACTCTACCCCAGCCAAAACCAGCACAGTATGCAAGTAGTAGGAAGGGGTACAGCTGGACAGCTGACCCAAACTGACCAAAGGGATATTCCACATCATATGACATTGCACTCAGTAATAAAAACTCAAGGAAAGGAGGAAGAAGGGGGTACATGCATGAAGAAAGAGGTCATGGCATTTGTCTTCCCAAATAACCAATATGTGTGATAAAGCCCTGCTTTCCTGAAAATGGCTAAATATCTGCCTGCTGATGGTACGTCACAAATTAATTTGTCATTTTGTTTTGCTGGCACAATGATTTTGCTTCACCTGTTAAACCGTCTTTAGCTCGACCCACAAGTGTTCTTGCTTTTGCACTTCCGATTCTCTCACGTCCCACTGGGGGTCAAGGTGGAAAGTGAACAAGACACTCTGTGGGTGTTTAATTGCAGGCCAGGGTCAAACCACAACTAACTCCTACCACAATGTCATCCTTTCTGGCCTTTCCTTTGACCCACACACGCAAGCTCCCACCTAACTTGTTCCCTGTCCCACAGAGGAGCTCTATATATCTGAGCTGCCCTGTCATCACACAGGCCATCCCACCCCCTTTTAATCTTCCCTGTCTGTCTCTCCTAAATATGCTATATCTCCCTCTACCACAAAAGCCGTGGGAGCTGTCCTTCCCCACCTCAGCTATTATTCCACTGATGTCACAGCTCTGCGATGGTACACATGGCTCAAACTCATCTTTTCTGTGCCTCAGGCTGAGGGCTTTGCTGCACATTTGGGCCTGCAGCACTTTGAATGTGGCACCAGGGCCAAGGGCAGACTTATCACATGGAAACGTGGTACCAAGAGCCTTGGACCCATTGTGTGGAAAGGCTTTGCAGAGACATGCTGGAGTGGATGGCAGCTGGCAACATCGTGATGAATGAGGTTCCCACAAAGAGAGCAAAAGCTGCAGTCCCCAAGGCCAGGGAGAAACAAGCCTGGGCTATGCAGCGGTGGCAGGAGGGGAGTTTGCTGTCCCAGGTGACTCTGTAGCACTGTGGGCCCTGTGACAGAGGTGAAGCTGATCTCCAGGAAGGGCAAGTTGCTACTGAGAAAGTTCCTGGGGGAGGACAGCCTGCGTTCCAGCCACACTGTGGACATGATGCTGGGAGAGCACTGGCTAGATAGCAGCTCTGCAGAGAAGGACCATGGGGTCCCAGAGAACAACAACCTGAGCATGAGGCTGCAATGCACCCTCACGCCAAAGGCCAACAGCCTCCTGGGCTGCATTAGGAAAAGCATTGTCGGCAGATCAAGGGAGGTGATCTTTCCCCTCTACTCAGCACTGGTGGTGCCACATCTGGAGTGCTTTGTCCAGTGCTGGGCTCCCCAGTACAAGAAAGTTGTTGACCTACTAAAGCAAGTCCAGAAAAGGGCCACAAAGCTAGTTTAAGTGACTGCAGCATCTTTCATCGGAGGAAAGGCTGAGAGATCTGGATCTGTTCAGCCAGGAGAAGAAAAGGTTCGAGGGGACCTCATGAATGAGTAAAAATACCTGATGGGAAGAAACAAAGACAAAGGAACCAAACTCTTCTCAGTAGTTCCAAGTGACAGGACAAGAGGTGATGGGCACAAATTAAAACACATTAAATTCCTTCTGAACAGAAGAAAACACTACAGAGGGGGCGGTCACACACTGGAACAGGTTTGCCACAGAGGCTGTGGAGTCTCCATCCTTGGAAGTATTAAAAGCCTGCCTGGACACAGTCCTAGGCAACTGGCTCTAGCTGACCCTTCTTGAGCTGGCTGGTTGGACTACATGATCTCCAGAGATTCCTTTCAACCTCAACGATTCTGTGATTCTGTGAGGGAATAAGGGGGGAAAGTAAGCAATGAACAACACATAGCCTTGATTGTAAATACTGTGGGATCCTCTGGAGGGGACCCACGCTGGAGCTGGGGAGAAGTGTAAGGAGGAACGAATGGCAGAGATGTACCGTACTGACTGTAATCCCCCATTCCCCATCCCTCCTGCACCTCTTGGGGTTGGGGTGGGCAGAAGAATTTGCCATGAAGGAGTAATTTGAACTGGGAAAAAAAAGGAGGGGAGGATAGTCTTTAATATTTTTGTCATAGTTTCTCACTATCCAAACCTATTTCAATTGGCAATAAACCAAATTACCTTCCCTAAGTCAAGTTTGATTTGCCCATGATGGTAACTGGTAAATGATCTCTCTGTCTTTCCCATGAGCTTTTCCATCTTATTTTCTCCCCCTGTCCCATTGAGGAGCTGGAGTGAGTGAGCAGCTGGTTGGATGTCTGGCTGCTGGCCAATGTTAACCCACTACAGTCCAGCATGGGGCTCCCAAGTATAAGAAAGACCCTGACAGACTTGAGTGAGTCCCGCGGAGGTCAGAAGGATGGTTGGGGCCTGGAGCACATTATGTACAAGGAGTGGCTGAGAGAGGTGGGGTTTTGACAAATTCCTCTGAGCCAAACATTTGAGCAAGGACCCAGGCCAGTCGATGGGATCTCAATCAATGGAGATTTTCAAAATTTGTCGAGACGAGGCCGTGAGCACCTGATCTAGCTGGAGCTGTCTGAGAACAGGCTTGGCTGAGGGAGCAGCTGTAGCAAGAGCTATGGGACTTGTTGTGTAATGAATGTCAGTAGAGAAATGGTTTCCCTTTTATTAATAGTGCTGGTGGAGCCCCAGAGGAGGACAGAGGTGACCATGCAGCAAAGATCATTCCTCAAGGCTGGGGTGTATCACCAGAGATGGAAATGGCCAGTGTGTGGGACTGGTCTGGGAAAATTTCCCTGGGACATCTTCCTCAGGGTGTCCATGGAACATGGCACAGTCCGGGCCCCTCTCTTCTCTACCTTTGGTGCCTTGCCTCCTTCACCATGACGCCTGGCTCTGCTCCAGGAGCACCCTGCTTTGTGCCCCTACCCTGCACACTCACACAGCTTAGCTGTACACTGGCATTTTTCCTCTCCCGGGTACTTTCCAGACCACCCCCTCCCCAGCTCTCCCCACCTCCCCTTCCTTCTCCCCAGCCCAGCAGAGCAGCCTAGTCTGGACTGGCCCCATGGCAATGCCCACTGCAGGGTGCTGCAGAGCTCTGGGCATTCACACCAGAGCCCCAGCCCCTCTGAAGGGCACAACAGCTCCTGGGGGAGAGAGGAGGATCAGCCTCTCCAGCAATCCCAGGGCTGCAGCTGGCCCCACAGGCATGAGGAAGCAGAGGACAGTCACTCTCTGCCTCTCCTGTGTTCATACCGCAGATGATTCCCAATCTTGACTTCGTTTGCCCCCTTTTCTGCCCCCACCAGCCCCACTCCGCAGGACAGCAAGACAGTCCTGGCCGTGGGGCTCTTCAGCCAGCTCCTGCATCTCTCCAGTCTCCTTTCCCTGTGCCTGTTGGGTTCCCACTGCCTCTCCTGGGATCACAAAGTCCTTGTTTACCTGTGAAACCTGGACTTAATGCTTTACCTCTGGGTGATTCGACCTTGGGCGACCTCTCATGTTGTGGGGCTCCAGTCACTGCCCACCCCAGGCACACACGGTCCATGCAGATCCTCTGGGCTCTCAGGGAAGCTCCAGATTCCTCTCCAGTAGGACATCGCCTGCCTTGCCATGTGTGGGACAGCCCTGGATATGTACCTCAGTGAACATTCACCATCACCACTGTCACCAGACACCAACAGGCAAGTCCTAAATTCAACCTTTGACCTCTAACAGGTCACATTATGACAATGAGCTGTTTGCCCTTGAACCCATGGAGCAACAGGCCCTTTTGAGGTGTAGTTGCTCATGCCTATTCTTGGCACCAGCCTTGGAAGACAATTTGAGTGTCCAGGCACTGCGCTTGGGAGATTCCTTTTTATTACAGAGATGGTAGGAGGGAGTCAGCTGTGACCCAGCATTAGACAGAATTTTACACAGGTTTCAGGTGTGACAGAGGAGGTTAATTCCTCAGTAGAAGTGAGATGAATCCAAACATTTGTGTAGGAACATAATAACCAAAAATTACCACAAAATGAGAATGATAGCAATAATGACAAGAAGTAGAATGATGATGATAATGCTAATGATGATAATGATAACACAAAAACCCCAAAGTACAGGTGTGCAATGCGAAACCCTGGGAGTCATTTGTGGAGAAAGATGGGAAATTTATCACTATTGAGAAACATCCACAAAATCACCTTCCTAATGGCATGCTTGAGCTCCTCGTTCCTCATGCTGTAGATGAGAGGGTTCACTGCTGGAGTTACCACTGTGTACAGAACTGCCACCACCAGATCCAGGGATGGGGAGGAGATGGAAGGGGGCTTCAGGTAGGCAATCATGGCAGTGCTAGCAAACAGGGAGACGATGGCCAGGTGAGGGAGGCACGTGGAAAAGGCTTTGTGCTGTCCTTGCTCGGAGGAGATCCTCAGCACAACCCTGAGGATCTGCACATAGGACAGCACAATGAAGACAAAACAGCCTAAAGCTACAGAAAGACTAACCACAAGAAGCCCGTCTTCCCTGAGGTAGGAGTCTGGGCAGGAGAGCTTGAGGAGCAGGGGGATTTCACAGAAGAACTGATCCACAGCATTGCCTTGGAAGAGTGGTATTGAAAATGTGTTGGCAGTGTGAAGCCCAGCACTGAGAAAACCACTGCCTCAGCCCGCTGCTACCATTTTGGCACAAGCGCTGCTGCCCAGGAGGGTCCCGTAGTGCCGGGGTTTGCAGATGGCAACATAGCAGTCATAGGCCATGACAGTGAGAAGAAAATACTCTGCTGACATAAAAAAGAGAAAGCAAAAGACCTAGGCAGCACATCCTGAGTAGGAAATAGCCCTTGTTTCCCAGAAGGAATTGGCCATGGATGTGGGGACAATGGTGAAGATGGAGGCCAGGTCGAGGAGGGAGAGATTGAGGAGGAAAAAGTACATGGGGGTATGGAGGCGGTCGACATGATGAGTCCGTTGCCCAGGTGGGCAGCCAGGTAGATGCCCAGGAAAAAACAGAAGTGCAAGAGCTGCAGTTCCTGCATTTCTGCGAGTGCCAGGATGAGGAATTTGGTGATGGAGCTGCTGTTGGGCATTTACTGCCTCTGGGCACAGGGATCTGTTAATGGAGAAAAAAGCATCAGTAAGTTAGGACAACTTTGAGCAAAACCTACTCCATTTCTCATAGAAAAACTCAAACCACCTCTCCCCTTTCAGGAAGACCTTTGGCAGGTCCCTTTTATGAGCTTTCATGAGCCATGGTCCTGGTGAGGGTGCCACCGGGAGCAGAGGCCTCTGCTGTGGGCTCTGGAGGAGTCAGTCCTGCTCTACAGCAATGGGTAAAAAGGCAGATGGGGTGATATCAGATTAAATCTGCTGGTAATATCAAAGAGCTTTTCAGTATTGTTGTTCCCAATTTGCCTAACAGAGCAATTTGCAGAGCAGAGCTGTGGAGTTTTGTTAATTTTGTTCTCATTGCCCCACCACACCTGAGGATTGATTTTTAAGGCTGAAATCCTTGGCGTTTCTACTATGCACTCAAAGTAAAACCTTGTGGGCCTGAGAGGGAAAGGGACTGTCCCTTAGTGCGGTTAGGAGAGCCGGTCTGTCCATCAGTCCTGGTCTCAGCTGCCCTGTTCTGGCACTTCTTTGCGCTGGAGGACGACTGCACTCAGATGTTGCCCTGATAAGAAACTGGACACCACTGAGAGCAGAGGAATCCAGTTTCAAAGTTCAGATGTCCAAACCCTTCACCCTGTCTCTGTACCCCTTTTCCAGCCAAGGATACCAAAGGCTCATTCCAGTTTCCCACATGCAGCTGCCCAGCAGGATTTTCATGGCCTTAGCACCTTCACAGATTGTCTGCTGGGCTCCCAGATATTGCAACGACTCCAATGGATAGCTATGTCCTTTTGGATGTCCTAAAGATGGGGTGTCCTGGAAGAAGAGTCAACTTTTTCCCCACCCATGGACTGCATTGCCCAGAGCCCCAAAGGTTAGAAGGAGGTTTGGGCACCTTCCTCCCACGGACAGATCTCCATGGCAGGACCCACAGGGTGAGCGTCTGATCTGCAGCTGAAACCCCCATACCCAGAGAGCCTCCAAACAAGAACAGCAGCAGCACAGACAGGTGGAGAACCAAGGAGAAATACCACAATGCTACTGCCAGGGTACGCAAGGCCAGGGAAGGACAGATGGACACTCAGGAGAGTCTGTTCTGCTGGAGGTCTGGCTGCAGGTGACTCATGCTATGGACCCCCTGCTCTTGAGGGCAGGGGCTCTGCTGGGTGGGAGAGGAGACCAGGAGGGGCTTGCTTGGAGGGAAACATCTTCACTGAAGGTCTGACAGGGAGATGTTCAAAACCTCTTCCCAGCTTTTTCTGTTGGCATTTTCCTCTCACTCCCTGCCCGTGTCTCCACTGCCTGGAGCTGTCCCTGCTGGGAGCTATTTCTCTGTCCCAGGTCTCCTCCTGTCAGTGCTCACAGACCCCATTCCACACGCTGTGTGCTCACCTCTGTTCTGCAGACACCTCCCAGGTACAGGGCACTGTGCAAGGGCATCTCGGAGTGTGACAGTCCTAAAGAACATCTCCTAAGGAGACCACAAAGATGATGTTTATGCTATCTGTAAGCTGAAGTGGGTGAAGGGACTTCATGAGTTTCCTCAGAGGCCTACTGATCTCTCAGTACAATGCTCCAGGAGTCCCAGTCTCCTGTACAAAACTGACAACTCTATTACTATGTGACCTGCCTCCCCTCCAGAGTGGGAAACTGAAAGTGCAGACTCCAGAAAGTGCCTTCCCCTTCAGATAGCCCCTGCTTTGGTCTTCCCTTGAAAAGTACCCTCAGAAATGCCCTGCTCTATGACACCTTCTTCTCCAAATACCAGATCCTATTAGCTGTCGGTTGTGCCAGCTTTAGAAGACCCCTCTGGCATCCCCACCTGCATTGCCCTGCTGCCAGAGACTTATCGTGACAAGGGCTCTGAAGGTTTCTCCTCCAGTGAGCTCTAAGTTGTCTTCCCACTTCACACTGCCTTTAACATCTTGCTCTCTCGTCTCTCCTTGTCACCTGCAGGCAGTGCCCCCAGCCCTGCTGAGATTTGCAGAGGAGATACTCCTGAGAAGAGTTGTTTCTCTGTCATGCTGCATGGTTATCATAAGCTGCTTCTGCCCAGGAGCCCAGCCCAGCTGAGAATCAGAGGACCAGACCAAGGTGTCACCTTCTCTGCCCCCCTCTTGAGGTGTCCCTAGGGCTCCAGGAGAACCTATTTTGAAACAGACTGAAGTAATCAGTGATGTTCCCTCCCTCAGCTGGGAACACTTCTTCTTTCCAGTGCTTTTCCTGCACTTCTTCCTAGTGCAGTCATTTCTCTTATCAGGAAAAGAGCTGGAATGAGAATCACATTTTCTTGACCAGTTCATAGAAAGGACATCCCACACAGGGACAGGGAGGAATCTCTTTTACCCCTGCTGAGGGAAAGGATTCAGCTGAGTTATTCGAGGCATCTCATTCTGGTTTTGTAGTCTTAGGGCTAGAAGGAGACTCAGCTCCCTCCCATGCCTGCCACAAACCCACAGGAGGTGGGATTCTTCTTGCCTTAATTCAGGTGTGCACAAAATATCCTCGTATAAGCTCCCATGTTAATTAATGGAGATGGTGGGCAGCAGTGACCTGTTCAGACTCAAACACCTCATGACATTTGAAGTGCCAGAGGTGGTCCAAGTTATATGCAGGTAACTGGAAACTCTAACGGAGCAATACTGAGGGACAGGGCAGCGTCTGGGGGCATCCTCTTGGAGGCTGGTGGGAAATTCCTTTGGCCAACTGAAATGACAGCAGATGCCCAAATTTAGGACAACAAAACCTGTCCCTCTGCAATATCTTCACTGCAGCCTGTAGAGGTATTTAGCTGAATAAACGGAGTCATGTGCCATAGGGAAAGTTAAGTCTCCCTCTTCACCACCAGCTGTATTTCCTAGATCTCCATTGACTGTAACTGAAGTTCTCATGGACATCCCTACAATTCCCAACCTAAGTCAGGGCAGCTACGCAATCTAATTTCCAAATACAGGCCTGTACCACTACCTCAGATGCCAAGGGACTCCAGAATAACTGAAGAATGTGCCTGGCAGGGATAGTGCAGGACCAACCAAAACCCAATGTTCATTCAGAGTGTGTGCATGACAGCCATCATGCTGTCTGCATTGCAGACAGCTTTGATACCTGTGGGCCAGTGACTGATTCCCATCACTGCAGTGGGGCCACATTGTACCATACCTGTCCAGTAGATTCAGGCAGTGCATGAATGGGAAGCACATCACGCCGGGGTCTCTACTCGTGGGCCTGTGCGTTCAAACTCTGCTGGTTCCTTTCCCCCCATCTTTTACTCACCCCCTTTGATGATACAATCAAGGAACAGGCCTGGATCACAGGACGTCCAGAGCCAAGAAACTCTTTGACAGCACCTTGTCCTTCCTGGAGATCACCTTAATGTCTGCCACAGGTCCTTTGGGCTGCGGAGACACCACAGACAGCAGAGCCCTCTCCTACCAGGGATGCATAGCCCAGGCCTGTTTCTCTCTGGCCTCGGGGACACCAGGGTTTGCTCTGCTTGTGAGATCCTCATTTCATCCTTACACTGCCATCTGCCATCCATGCCAACATGTCTCTGCTCTGAAGGAAAGCCTTTCCTGGTGCGACATCTTGGGTGCAAGATCTGTGACAAGTTTGAACTTTGCCCTGGTGCCACAGCAGAGGTGCTGCAGCCCAAATGGGCACTCAAATCCACCCTCTGCAGATCTTCTGACAACTTGGAGCACAGACAGGAGGAGCTGGAGCCCTGTCTGCTGTGACACTGATGAAAAACCTGCTGAGGTGTGGTGGGACAGGTCACACAGCTTGGGGTGCTGCAATGGATGGATAGAGACTTCAGAAGATACAGGCAGGGAAGATCAGGAGGTGGATGCCCTCAGTGCAAAGGAGTGGTCTGTTTGTATGGAGGACCGTAGAGGAGATTGTATCCTCTATGGGATGGGCAACAGATTGGGTGAGCCCTTGTGGGCGATAACCAGAGGACAGCCCAGTTAGGGTGACATCATGGTAGGAGATAAAAAACAGGTGAAGAAGGGGACAAGGTCTTATTCAAGCAATTTGAGAAAGTCAAGATCAATCACTCCACATCACCCTTAGGGACTTTAATCACCCTGACACTCACAGGAAGATGATGCTGCAGGGTGCAAACACTCCGAGAGGTTTCTGTGGGTCCATGGGGTCATCTTGTTAGCACAGCTGTCAGATGGGCCAACATAGGAGATGCTCACCTGGATCTGCTTCTTGCAAACAGGGAAAAGCGGGTCAGGGATGTGAAATACAGTGTCAGCCTTGGCTGCAGTGCCCATTAAGTAGTGGAGTCTCAGCTCCTAACAGGAGTGAGGAAGGAGAGCAGCAGAGTGCAGGCGCCAGGTCTCAGAGGGGAAGACTTTGTCCTATTTGGGGCACTGGCAAGTCGGATGCCATTAGGGGACAGTATCAGGGTCTGAGGGTTCCAATAGGCCTTAATGTGCTTGACCATTCTTACCAGGGTCCTCTATCCTCATACTTCATCCTCCACCCTGCTGGGTCCATGAGACCAGGAGCCCATTTGAGCCATGGCCTGAGTTTCAGTCCTGGCCTGAGCTACGCTGTGGTCACATTGGTCTCCAGTGACAGCCAAAGGTACAGCCATGCCCAGCCATGGACCTCGTTGGTTCTGTCTCAGACTGACTTCCTGAATTGATCCTTCATGGGGTGTACAATGGCACAACAACCTGTCCCTCCAAGTGCCAGAGCCCGGCTGATCCACAGAGGCCCAGCACAGCTGTAGGACTGCAGTGCTTCTACAGCTGGGCCTAGGAGGTGCTCACTATGCAACAGCCAAAGCTGGGCAGCTGCAGGGGAGTCCCTTCAGCTTATGTGTGATCTTTTCCAGGGATGGGATTCATCCTGCCTAATTGTAAGGCTTGGACTAATCACCCAAATTGAGTGATGTCTGCAATATAGATATGCAGAATTCGAAGCCACCGAGGCGAAGGGCT